TATATATATATATTCACAAGTTTACACTTCACAGTGACTTCACAATTCAATTCAGAAGTTCAATACATATGCAGTATATGCAATTTTTTTTGAATCTACATAGTTCACACATACAGACTAATAACCACAGGGTGATGAGATCGGTCAATCGCACCAAAGTCAATATTTCTTTTATTTTTCATACATATTGTTTGTAGTAAAACAGTTGAATTGAATACACATATTTATTTATAGCCTTCTCCAATCAATTTCTATATTTTCCAAAAGGGATGTTTTGTATTTACTCTGTATTTTATATATTTTTGTTTTTGAAAACCAATTTTTATTTTTTGACCTCGCTGACTATTTTTAAGCCAATGATATCTTCATAAAAGTCAGTAGCCCTATACTTTTTCTGTACTATTTTAAAAAAAGGACTCCTCCTTTTTTGTTCAAATAGTATCTGTTGATGAGCTGGAAATCTGGAATTGTGAGAAAAATGCCATTTTTACGTCGATGCAATCCGGAACTCCGATCGAATCAGGATTCTGATTGGTTGTGGTTCAAAATTTATAGTATATGCTATACATAGCAATAGCGAACTCTCACCCTTTTTTTGGGGGTATTTTAATATTTTTTTATGAGATACGTGAAGTAAACATAAAGTTGCTAGTGAGTAACTGTACAACATATATGTACAATTCCAGTTCTACGCTTTTGTTATTTATCTCAAAATATTAACCGACAAAATGGATACGTTTTTATAAATGTATCTATTCAGATTTCGAATGCACTTTTATTATATATGCTATCTTGTATCGATTTAGCAATTAGCACCACATTAAAATTTGAAACATTATCCAGAAAAACAACAAATTCAATATTTTAAAAATATACTTCCCAAAGCGGCGATACTAAATAGAGTACATATTCCAATTTTCATATCTGTTGACCAAGAAAGAATACTCACACAATACATACTGAAAAGACTGATAGTAAACTGTGGGCACGAAAATATATTATTAATAATAATAAATAAATCATAGCCTCTCCAAATTGAACAAAATAATACACAAAATAATAAAAATATTTCGACACGGGATCGTCAACAGAAGAGGTTGAAGGTTGAACTTTCAGCAAACGCACATATTTAAGCCGCATATTTGGGATATATTGTAGGCTGATAAAGGAACTAAATATAATAGATCGCATTTCGCGTATATAAAAGTAACCACACAGGTGTATACAAACAGACGATTCACATCACACGTACAGTTCGTCGTACACACCCATTTGCTTTCAACACCATGTCTAGCGCCGATGAGTACTTGGAGCAGCACAATGTGCGTGAGTATGTCAAAGACCTGCTTACAGCCCTGTCCAGTGAGACACCCGACGATGCACTTGGCTTCATTAAGGAATATGTGAATAACACATCTAGCCTTCCTGGTACGTGTGCATAATCCTTTGTTTTATATATGTGCGTGTGGGCAGTATTCTAATATGTGCCTGTGAATGATGGTTGAGCATGTGATAGTAATCATTGTATTGGTTTGTACGTGGAATATGTGTTCCGGTATGTGAGTGTACTGTGTTTAGTACGTGAATGCAATTAGTGTGTAGTCGGTGTTTCAGAGAATGCTTCGATGTCTACTGTCCGAGCTAAAGTTGTGAGGTACTAACCTGTGTTAGTTGCCGGATAATAGTCTTGTGACTGCGAGATGTTCTCTACCTATGCAGTGCTTGTCTATATGTGGATAGCCTATTCTGGAAACTTAAGAACATCATGGTAAAGCTTATGTACTTAGTAAGGGTGCCGTCTATTCAACCCGACAGTGTACTGTGAGATTGCACAACGTGTGCGCGCATACAAAATCTCCGCAGTTTGAATACACTTTTGGGGTTAGCGCACTCGCATCTTAACTGATCTTCTCCGATTTCTATTGATGTTTGCAGCTAAGGTGCCCACAAAAGACGTGCTGGCCCCAGAGTCTGTGTCTTCGCGTTCACGCCGTGGTGCCGTCAGTGCGTCCGTTATGACTGAGGAAGACGTATGTGTGAGTGCGTATGCTCGTAAAGCACCCAAATGGGTTTTTATTCTATGTTTGTATATTTGCACATAGTATATGTATGTTATTTATATTTATATATATAGTATGTATGTATGTATGTATGTATATATATATATGTAATTAATATATATATATATATATATATATATATATATATGTATAGTATATATAATATATATATATATATATATATATATATATATATATTAGTTACGTATATGCATATATGTAAATATTTGTGTGTGTATATGTAGATATATATATATGGATGTGGGTGTTTGTGTCGATGTTTATGTAAAATCCTCTGTAATAAATGTGTATATGTACGTATATACACCATACTTGTGTCTAGCCATACACATAGATCAACATGTAATATAACATGCATAGGTTATATATACGATGTATCAAAGTGTGTAATATACACCAATATACATTCAGATATTCATGTACATTTCCCGGCGTTCCGGAATTGTAAATGTGTGTGTGTATATCATAATCCATATTTATATATCTATATATATATATATAAATGTTGCTCCATATTCATATATCTACATATATATGTATGTATATAAGTATATACATATGTGTGTGTGTGTACAAAAATGTTACTTACATGATTATAGATTGTTATCTTTTCTTTTATTTTTAATTATGTATATGCATATGTATGTATATATATATATGTATATTCATATTCGTGTACGCATAAATACATACACATATGTATGTATGTTTACACGAAAGTATATGCCAACGTATGTAAGTTCGTATATATATATTTATATATGTAAAACTGTTTATGTGTATGTATACGTATGTATATATATATATACTTTATATGAGTATGCATGTATGTATGTATATGTATATATATATATAGTAATAGACGAATACATATATATATGTATGCATGTACATATTCGTGTTTATTTATATAAATATATGCATAATTTGTACATGTGTGTGTATAATATGCGTATTCATATCCATACACATACATACATATATATATATATATATCTGTATTTATATGGAAAGAAAAGGAGGAAACAATTCAATGGTATGAGCATAGCAAATAATATGCGTATTTAAATATTGTGTGCGTGTTTTTTACCAATGAGACCTCATTGAAGTATGATGTACGTGATTCTATACCGATAGTTACCATTGTTTATGTATACGTATTCATAGGATGTATTAAATATTCAATAAGCAAAAGAAAAGTATATATGTGTAGTATGATATGCGTGTGCAATATATGAAAGTTATATTCATATTGTATTTGTATGTATTAATGTATGTATGTATGTACATACATATATATATATGTATTTGTATGTATTAATGTATGTATGTATGTACATACATATATATGTATATGTATATGTATGTACATACATATATATATATGTATATGTATATGTATATGTATACTTGCAAAGATAAGTATATATATTTTAATATATAGTTCTAACTTAAAGTATGCTTACGATATGGTTTGTTTGTTTTCATTATTGAACAGTGCTTGTGTTTTTCTTATATGTTTTGTTCTTATCGCTATTAAACTGATAACTGCATTGCTGTGCCATTCTGTATATGTTCCGTTTTAACTTGTGTTGGAATATGGACATGTCGATACGCTTCCCATTTGTACCAACAATACAATCTCACACTCATATTTATATATATATATATATATATATATACGTACAAGCACACTCACACACACACCACCCCCCGTATGTTTCTCTCAGTCCGACAACTACAAACGAAGAGTCATCCCCAAGGACTACAAAACAATGGCAGCGCTGCAGAAGTCCATGGGCAAGAACATTCTGTTCAAGCATCTGGATGATGAAGAACAGAGTGAGATATTCGATGCCATGGAGGCTGTGGAGGCTAAGGCCAATGAAGAGATCATTGTGCAGGGAGACGAGGGAGACAACTTCTACGTAATTGACAGCGGCACTGTAGAGGTATGTTATGCCGGGTGTGTTTGTAGGTATAGGCTGAGTATGTTGTTGTGAGCGTACAGTGTGTGTGGTAGTGATATCTTCTATTGGAGATGTGTCCGCTTAGAGGTTTTAAAGTCCTCAAACCACCACCCATTGTAGGTGTGGGTCTTATAGCGCGATTAGTTTTATGCAAAGGTGTCCTTTACGGATCGCAAGCCGAATTATAGGTACGGAGAAAAATGTGTGACTTGAAGTGTATCTATATCTATACATATATATGTATATGTGTATATGTATATATATGTATATGTACCTTTATATATATATATATATATATAAAGTATGTGCTTATGTGTATGTGTGTGTGTCAATATTGAGTTATTTATTAATTTGCATCTCTGTTTCTATTTGTTTTACTTTGTTTTGTTTTGTTTCTTCTGTGTATGCATAGCATTAAGCAGATGTGTGTGCATACCTTTAGGTGTACAAATAACCTTCACATATATATGTACACTACATTCAATTCTATATACACTTGCAACCACTATTAATATGCACCTTTGTGTATGAGTTCGTTTACAGGTTTCACGTTGATAATCGTAGATGTACACTACCAACAACCACCTACATTCGCGCATTTAACGAATATGCATGAAAATTGCAAGCATCGTGGTTCTCCCACCAGAACTTCACAAGTTTTTTTGTTTGTTTTTTTATTCCGAGTTATTTGGATGTGTGCAGACTTTGTATTAAAGTACAATGATAGACACATCTTATCAGTGCATCTGTACGCACATAGGCGTCCACGCATTGCCCGCATAGCTGGGAGGTGATATCGTAACTCTGTACACAAATATTGAAGACGGTGGAAGTTTGATATATATTCTGCTGTTCGAAAGTTATGAGCGGTGGCAGGCAGTTTGTAGGACTGTAGATGTCGTATGAAGGTCGATATTTACACGTCTGTACGTGTGTATGGCGTTTAACATGCAGACATGCGCAACCCCAACACACACATACACACACCATTACTGATAGTTCCGTACGTACGTTATGATCCGCACGACTATATGGAATATGGTGTAAGTTCGTATGCAACTGTTGATGTTTTTACCTGCGGTAATGGTAGGTCGTGCTTGGGAATATCCACTACAACATACATGAGTGTTCGTATGTATATATGCATTCAAAATATGCAGCATAAGAGTGTTTATCAAATGTCTTCACGTATAACTACATACGCGTGTGGATATAATTATGCCCATGGTGAATTTTTTAGTAATGGTAGCGCGTGGGGTTGTGTATTTAAAGAGTTCGCATCATCGGAGATCATATACAAGCGTACATGACACCCTACCGTTTCAATATTAATATAATTGATCTCCTCGTTTTAGGATTAGTATAATTGCCAATATTGGTGCGTGTGCGCACGATAGTTGCACGAGTACGATTATCAATACCCTAACCCAGCATGTGGATGTTAATACTGCCGAATGTATATCTACATAGCTATCACATCATAGATTGTGGAACACACACGGCCTTTACTAGTATGTCAGACATGTATTGTACCTTCGGATCATCGAACCTAAATTTATTGATGTTAGATTGAAATCATTCCAATGCTTTTTGTTTAACTAGTTATGATTAGGTATAGTTGTGTGTGTATGTGTGTGTCTGTACGTTCATATACATATACATATATACTTCCGTTAAATTTTATCGATATACTTTTACAAGTGTATATATGTATAATGTTTTCTAGGTTTATGGCCAAATTCAGAAATGAATATAAATATTGATATGTTAGGAGTTTACGTGAAGGCTTATATGCAATACTACCATATCATACGTTATATAAAGCTCGGCTTACCTCGATATCGCATGTAATGATATTCTTTCACTTCCCAAGTTGTTTGAGATTCTCACGCTAACATCGATCGAAAACTTAACTGTGAAGCACCATATACATAGTCGAAGCTTTTACTCTTCGTCCTAAATGGACCATTTCTATAAATTACCAACATCTAGATTATATGTGTGTGTGTGTATGTATATATATATATGACGTATGACGTAGGCATAAACTCGCTGTGCCGTCAAGTACACTCGAAACCCCCCTTCCTCTCGCTAACCCGTACTTTACGTATACCGGTATATTCCAGGTATGGATCACGAAGGGAGCGAACGACCCCGTCATGGTGGCTACCATTGGGGAGGGTGGTTCATTCGGAGAGTTGGCATTGATCTACGGAACACCCCGTGCGGCGACTATCAAAGCACGCACCGACTGCAAACTATGGGCGCTGGACCGCGATTCTTACAGTATGTGAAACAGACACAGACGCTCACGTGGGTATTGATCGGGATAGTGCGTGGTTCTGATAACTTCGTGTGTATATGTGTTGCTTGTCTGTCGTCCCTCACGCGCGCACAGTGCAGTGTGTTCTGTGCTGCATGTGTACGAGCTTGCTGGCAATGCGTAGACAACGATAGCCTCTCGCCACAGGTGTTGTGATATTTTACCATTGACAATATCGTGCATAGTGGCGCAGAACTACATATGTTGAGAAGTCAGGAACGCGCATGTGGAAGTGTATATTAACCAGTATGTCTTAATATAAGTTTACACCTATAAAAGGTCCGTCGATACGTGTATCGTCTACACTGTATATCTGACGTGTTTTCATCCCGAATGCATCTTGCAGGACATATTATCATGGGTAACACGATCAGAAAACGTAAAATGTACGAGAATTTTCTGGAGAAGGTTCCCATTTTAGAGCCTCTCGACCATTGGGAACGGCTCACTGTTGCCGACGCTCTTGAGACGTGCAGTTTTAAGGCCGGAGATAAAATCGTGACACAGGGAGAAGATGGTGATACTTTCTTCATCATTGTTGAGGTGTGTTTTCTGTGACTATCGTCAAGAGTTATTTGTGTTAATGGAGGGCACAAATTAGAGTATATAGCTGCTGTGTGATGTGCTCGAATTTCTTTGGTACGACTGCTACACTGTCGCTCAGTGGTCTCTATCGGTATTCTGACTCCCGCCTATACTTGGACTGTCTGTGTACATCTGTGGCATCCTACAAGCACGTCACTAGGATACGCAGATTCTTCTGTGTTTGTATGTGTTATCTAGTATCTCAACACACCCACGATTGTGGAAGTGCACTATGTATCGGCATTACATCGCCTTAATTATGACGAGGAAATGGGAGAGACTCTCACCACTGGTAGTTGGGATGTGCAGTGTCTGGTGTATGATGACAGTGCCTGTCAGCACTAGGTAGCGCGTTCTCCCAGTTGTGGTGTTTCGGATATTGTACAGTAGCATGATCGCCAGGCCTAGTTGTATCTATATATAGTTTCTCAGTCAGGCGCCACAGAAACATCACTGCACTATCTCATCACTCACTCGCACTCTGACTCAACCGTTCAGGGCGAGGCTATTGTTACACAAGAGATGGAGGGCAAGGCTGTGGAGGTGGCACGTCTGCACTCGTCTGACTATTTCGGAGAGATCGCTCTTCTGACGAACAAGCCACGCGCTGCCACAGTAACCGCCAGCGGGGCTCTCAAATGTGTCAAGCTGGATAAGGAGCGTTTCGAGCGTGTGCTCGGTTCGTGCGAGGATATCCTAAAGCGTAACATAGACAAGTACGAGAGCTACGTCACGTTGCAATAGTCTTAGAGCCGGCCATGTACTGAGTAGAGTAACTTGTGATTGTGCGAGCCTAGTGAACCGATACTCGACCAGGATCGGGATGGTATAACCATATATGATATATGCTCATCTATTAAAAACTTGATTCTTGTATGGAGTGGCATCGGAGCACTTTCCGAATCTGGGACATCTCAGATATGATGCATCTGTAATTTATCTCGGTAATGTCAAATATCACTTGGTGGTTTTGTATTGAAGCTGCGGTCCAGAGATGTGCACTCATAAGGTAATAATAATGTGGCGTTCGAGTTTGACACGAGCGTAAACATTGGAAACTAGTTCAAATTAGTCATACTGGGCACCCCATTCCAAATACTACTGTGGTTTTAGAGTTTTTTTGTTGTTGTTTTTTTACGTCCCGTTTAATACTACGTCGTTTCATGATTCAAATTGGCCTGTCGATCTGTGGGAGACGTAAAGGCACTGCGGTACTGTTCAACTTATGCCATTTTAGTGTACTACACATAGGTCGGGAGGTCTGCGAAGCGTTTGGGATATGTTGTTACGTATAAACACAGTATCGGCGAAACAATATATGTGATATTAGCTGAAGACCAAGGATAGGATATTTAATTTCGAATATAGTATGTGCTGCATTGTTCTATATTCTGATCCCTGCGTCTCCAAAAACGTGATAACTAAGTCAATGTTTCTTGTACCACAAACACCCCATAGAAAGCCTCCAGAATATTTTCGTGTGTGTTTTATACCATACTCCTGGTATCGGCCGTCGGCTTTCTTCAAAGCCTCACGCCGCTGTAGTCGATCTTCTGAGTATATGTCACCAATCACTTCAAACACCATGTGAGTATCCCAATGACAATGTGTGTTTTCACTTGGACCTTTTAACTGCAATTTACCAAGTCTTTTCCAGAATATTCACAAACATGCCATTGTTGGACACGTCCACAGTGTGTAACCACGGCTGGTCGGACTATGGAACCTCTATCTTGTCATCAATGAAATACCCAATGTCGAGCTTCTCGCTCAAGGCAACCTCTATAGCGATGTCCTCGATTACAGGCAGTCAGCAGCACCAGTAATACTTGATATAATTTATGTACATTGTAAATGTACACATATCGCACATCAACTCTCCAGTACCCTCACCCTGGCCCTGCCCTGTGACTACGACTCTGCCGTCCGGTACGAGAGCGGCGGTCGAATGGTACAAACGAGGGGTATTTGGTGCGGCGAGTAGACAATACCGTTGCTTTACTAGCGTGAGAGGTTCATACAACGTGGGTCGTTACCGATACCGAATCCAACTTTATTGAATAGTATTCCTTGTACATTTTATACTCTTCACCGCCGGCGACAAACACGGTTTATATCCACTAGATGCATCTGACCGCTACAGTACGGGGCTCTTCTTAAGAGCGCGCGCTTAAAAACTCAACTTAACTGTTATCTAAAATTGCCGTAGCTGCTTGATTTACACCAAGCTGCTCGATTGCGTTCTGGGATACTGAAACGGTCCCAATATATTTTTACTGTTGAAAGAGAAAAGTACAGCATCACTAATGACCACCCAAGTGAAGCTGATACCAGTACCTTCGTATACAATAGCCGGCCAACTGCCGATTTCAGACACTAAGACCCCTGATTTTTGGCTATACTACATCACAGTTGGCAGAAGATACATAGCAAGCTACTCCCGGTGATAAACCGCACGTGAACGCTGTATTTCAAAGGTGAAGATTTGGAAAAGTGAAAAATAGTCAAACTATAGACCATGTATAGAATGACAGAAAAATAATCAATGTGTAAACTGTACCGCTGAACTGGGAACCAGCTGAACGTAGCTGACGCGATATCGTAAATAGGCACTGCGCGAAAGACCAAATTGATACTAGATTCTTACAATCTACACACTGTATATTCTGCATGTTACCACCGTAGTTATCATTGGCTAGGGCGTTGTTCCCCTTGTAATAAGATCCGGATCCCTCAGGCAAATATGTGCCATCTGGTCGATGGGCACAAGTGTTATGGTTTCTCAATGTAGCTTCACTGCTGAGAATGGAAACACGCTTGCCCGACATTATTGCGTGGCAGTGTATATTCAATATTCTATACAATTTCGCCTTGCAATAAGATCCGAATCCCTCAGGTACAAGCTCTCAATTGTCGTTGATCTCTGTATTGATTGCTGAAGTCATTGTGTCTGTGATGTGTTGTGTCATGTATTACTTATGTCTCAAGATAACGGAACGTTTTTCGCCTGTCGTTGTATTTTTCTGCATCATGTGCCTGAGGCAGTATGTCACGGGATTTGATTCTTCGGAAACGCATAAATAGCTTCTCTCGGCACGCAAAGTATGCCCCATAGATTCTTGAAAGCAACTGCGACGACATTATTTTCGCTGAAAAACCATGCGTCTATAATTCTCAATGTGCAGATGCTTTCCTTCATCTCGTGTGTAAAATCAAAATATCAAATGCAGTCTGGTGCTGGTGTATCAATTTCTCGGTTTCTCGAAGTCAGCGGACAACAAAAAGTACCGGGCACCTATTCAGTAAAACTAAGGCACGCTTACGACGTAAAGGTAAGAGTGCCTAGTCAGCACTCACAAGTTGGTTCGGGTTACTTTGCTGTTGATTGTTTTTTTTTCTAGATGCGGAAATCTATCCTTTGCATCAGTTCCGTCCCCAAGGTATCAAATTAAGCTGACTTCGAATAGTCGCAAACAAGAACCATCAGTTTAAGACTTATGAATATTGTAGATGTTAAGACTTATGAATAGTGTAGAGGTACATATATCGTGGTCCTGCTTCCCCAGTATCACAATCAGCACCTCCTTACAATTTATCACAGCTTTGAAGTATTGATTGATGCTACTTTATACACAGACCTAGCACACACCGTGTTAATACAGATCAAGAAATGCAACCAAAATCTCCGTTTTCGAAACTACGTTCAAATGCAAAGAGTACAATTCTATAGGGAACGTTTAGCTTAATTACACCAAATCTTACTTAACTTAAACTTACGTTACCAATATATTTAGGTTGGTTACAACGGCTACATGAAATATTTCTACACGCTTATACAATTTGGCATGTCTAGTGAAAAGATTGTCTCAAACACCATGACTTGTCATTGTTTAAAGAATACATGAGTTTTCTGGGTATTACCGTCCACTGCCGCCAGGAACCATGTAGCATAAAATGAATTGACCCTTCACATGCATTGAATCCATCGTTGTTTTTTTCTATTGGTCAAGTCATGTCTCAGTGCTTAAAGTAGTAGAAGTATGATATTTTCACTGGAGACGTGACGGTTAAGGGTACGTTATCAGCAGAACCCGTATATTTCAAGGTGCTGCTTTAATGAAATATTATTGACTTCTTCTTGGATGCGGGAATTCTGAGGAGCGCCTTTGTGGTATGCAACACGCACCCATTACTGCAAAGATCGGCGAGATCGAGATAGTATAGAAACTAACCCTAACCCTGAACCCTAAACCCTAAAACCCTTATCCCTGAAAACTTAAGATTTAAGCATAATGGATTTCATAGCAATTCAAATTTAATGAAGTGTACATAGCCGAGCAATAAAGTTAGATACGCTTCGTGAACTAGCAGTACACTGAGGGATTGTAAGACTGAGACATTGCCTATATAGAATCCTCTCGAAAATTATTTAGCCGGAAGGATTATATTTACGATTTCTTTGTTCAAACCACGAAAGCAACGATGCTTGACTTCGTTGCGCTAAACCTAAAATACTTATAAATTCTTATCTTTAGAAAAAGGCATAAAAAGAAAAGGAGAGTCCCTTCTGTCTCCCGGGCCATTGAGTACTAGAGAGACTGCCCACTTAGTGTAGAGCACCCTGTCAACCCCATAATTTCTACATGTGAAACCCTCTAAATATACATACAATTTTACGGGTTTCAATCACGCTTTTATATATTGTGTATTTGTTTTCATTTTCTGTACTGATTTTTTTCTAATATAAATTTGGCGCCTTCTTTGCTTATAACATCAGTGCTCAGAACCAGTTCGGTAGTCCATGGAGGCAGTCTGTAATAAAATAACTTGCGCATGGAAGTACACGTGAAAATAAACTTACTAAATACCACTGTTTATCTGAATAACGTCACATTGGACTTAATATATTAAAAACAGGTGACACTCAAGCAACATTAGCAAAACCACAGCAGGAAGGTGACTTTTGACAATGCTTAAATCTTAAGGATGTGAATTCAAGTATAAGCAGACGGCTACCTCACCAGTCAGAGACAACGACATCGTAACAAAGTGGATTGTAGGAAATTGAAAATGAATCAATTTCTACTCGGTATCATTCTTTTGACTACATATGTTATGAAATTACTGTAGTTGCTAAAAGGCTTCACGCAATTCCTATTCCGCAATGAACTGCTAGAAGAGTCAAAACACAGAGAATATCAGACATAAATACATGCATCGGGTTGTGCACCAAAACACTAGCCTCAAACTGCGAAGAGCACGACCTACCGGGGTGAAAGCCAATCGAAGTAAAACCAAAGGTGTATCAAGAGCTTTCTATTAGAAGCGGAAAGGAAAGCTATTGTTCGGAAAAGAGTCGAAAGGTTGAATAGTTGTGGACAAACTATCTGAAGGAGTGGTATCTGTACCGGTCAGGTTAAAGCCGTTCTGCATTAATGACGAGATTCTGCAATATAACACTGCCATACAGGGACGTGTACCGACAGCTCGATTATTTCAGAAATCTTCTGCAAGTTGTAACAAATTGTTCTCTCAATCTGTTTGCTTCAGTGATGCTGATGCACACAGAGTATAAAACAAGGGCTTACAAAAGTATCGTATAGGGCAGAAAGCTTGTGGCTTAGAAGCCCGGCACCAGTTTCTGAAATGATTTCGGTGAAGTCATGCACCTTAGTCTGTCGCACTGGAACAAACGCTATACCAGAGCTGAAGAACTATTTACATTTTAAGAGTTTGGTGAAACACTATCTTACGGATGATGCCACATACAGTCTCAAAACACGTTTCATAATTTAAAACGACAGAGGATTAGTTCGAGGTAAGAGGTAAGTACCAGAAGAAGAAGAAAATTCATTTACTATTGTTTGAACGCCTTCAACTTTAATAGTGTGGGTCACCTCGTACAATATACATTGTAGATGAAAAGCTATATATATCTAGGATAATACTTACTATAAGCTATAGTTTTCTCTGAATTTGTAGTGACCCCTAGTAAAAAAACTCAGAAAGAAAGACATGTTTCAGGGTATTAATACCCTTTCAATATTCAGATAAAGTACAACTATCTCCGGAGCCTGCTATGATTACACATTCCTATTGTAAACTTCGATGGAAATTCCCTATTTG